TGACACCAAAATTACATTTATAGAAATGTACCAATGTTTTCTACTATGTGAACTAAATCTTCGTATTTATAGCAATTATTGATAGACATCATGAAGTGGAAGATGTAGCACAGTTTCTTTTGTTAAAAGCAAGGTTAAGGAATTTTATATTTGTTAAATAATAACTTGTGTGCGTTTTGTATTGTCCTCGTAATAATGTGGTGCATTATATTCTAGTATATTAAGCATTCCCTTTCAGTTAATACCCCACATTGTTTACTTCCCAAGATACGTGTTTAACATGAAAATGAGGTTTTATGTTATTTACCTGGGCCTCGTTGTCTCCCTGGCGAGGTCTACCTTAAGCAAGAACGAGGAGGAGTACGTATCGAAAGACTCATCTGCATTGCCTAAGGCTGATTTATATGTAAGTACGTTAATAGTCCACTGAACCGCACACTAGTTATTTATTTATTTATGTATTTATTATTATAATTTGTTCGTTTTGTTTTGTTTCTATTTATCCTTGTAATGTTAGTTGTCATTTTTGGACGAGCTTAGCTAATACAACTTGATTTTTTAACGTACCAGTGTGAAAAAAACCATTTAGTAACATTTCTTCTGTCATATAAATTTAATATATAATATAAATGTCAATGATATATTGATTTATCAATAATAGTAAATGTTATCAGTCATTCAGCATCAATGCCTAACACAGCCAGATCCTATACATTCAAGTCTGTACAACCTCTGCACCTGGGTGATAACATTTTACCCCTCTTTACCACACATTGCAATCATCTTTGGACTCTAATCCCTGGCAAAAGTAATGAGTAAATCCATATGAAAAAAGACATGACGCTAACGTTGTTGCGTTTCCAGGGAACAACTCTCCATTACCACTATGAAAGCGAGGCCAAACTATTTGGTCCGGCAGAGGAAATATTTCACATCTCCGCTGATGTAGATGTGGAGTATATTGGAGGTATATATGTGTGTTTCAATTTGTTGTTTTTTTCTGTATTCATTTTTCTTATTCAACTAGTTCTTTATCGATATATCTTTTTCACCACTCCCTTCATCATCATCATCATTTAGAGCCTATAGTGTTCCACTGTTGGACAAAGGCCTCAGCATGCTTTTTCCATTGTTTCCTATCCTGAGCCTCAGATTTCCAGTTTGGCCAAGGTTTCTTCTTCCAAGACTTCCAGTAGTCATCTAATTCATCCCTCCATCGTTTGACCGGCCTTCCTCTTTTTCTTTGTCCATACCTTGGGGTCCATTCTGTAAGCCTGATTGTCCACCTATTGTCCTTCATTCTTTTGACATGTCCTGCCCACCTCCATTTCATTTCTTTAACTGTGAGCAGTACGTCCTTAACTTTGGTCTGTTCACGTAACCATACATTCGTTTTCCGCTCTCTTGGATTGATGTTCAACATAATTCTTTCCATCTTTCTCTGAGATACTTGTAGCTTGTGTTCCATGGAGGCATTTAGTGCCCAGGTCTCTGAACCATAATAGTTGTAATATTATTTGATAAAACGACCACCGAGTCGATGCATGTATACATGCCGTTATATATATATATATATATATATATATATATATATATATATATATATATATATATATATATATATATATATTTATTTATTTTTATTTTATTTTTTTTTTTTTTTTATTTATTTATTTTTTTTTTTTACGTAATTTTCTTTTTAAGATACTTGTTAACGGTAATAAGTCAATAGCTTTCTTACCTCATGCACAGGTAAACTAAGCACATACTTTTGCTTAAGGTCACTGTTGTTGGAAAACATTTCAAGGTGTAGCACTTGAAAGTAAAATCGGTTTTGGATGTTGACGCACTGCTTGTTTTTCAGATGGCTTTGGAAACTACCTTGATAACAACGCATCGTCCTTCCTCATGTTTATGCGCAATGTTTTTGTGCAAGTGATAAAGGGAAATGGGTGAGGAGCGTTTCAATCAACAAAAGTGAAAATAATATGTAGTTTACAAAAAAAAAATCATTAAGTTCGTTGTATGCGTGGGGATGAATACTGTATATACATATTCATGTCCATTTCAATAGCACGACCTCCCAGTCCGAGGCTCCCCTGTCTGCTGACGACCTGTATGACCAGCCTACCTGGTTTGTTCAACTGGGGAACGGAACTATTGCCGAGGCTAGGTTTACCAAGAAAGATTTAGGTAAGACGGCAAACAGGGACAACTTTTTTCTTAGATTTTCCATAAGCCACATACCTCAACCTGAATAAAACTTGTCTTAAAATAATAATAAAATTCTCTCGGAAATATTGGGGTGGGAGCATGTGCCTTTGCTCTCAGATAGCCCTTTCACCATAATCACACATAGACTGGGTTCCCATACTTAGATCGATCCATCTGGATCGACCCAACTCTCTGGGGAGTCTCCCTTATTGCAATCAAATTACCGGTTTTCTGTCTGTCACGCCTACCGAATCACCTAGGAGGCAAAGATAATTACCTCCTAACAGTTTCACTAGGCGTGACGGATATTTAAGGCGGTCAAGTTGACAGCAATTTCGTGAAACTCCCCAGGGAGATAGATCGATCCAAATATCTGTGGGAGTGGTCCCATAGACACACGCACATGCTCACAAAAATATAGCATGCGCTGTATATCTGATAGTAATTAGATGGCTATGTCACTTCGTTTAAAAGCATACTAAGTGAGTTTCCCTTTATTAATACATCTGATACATCTGAACCTGCACTAAGCTCCCCTAATTTGTTTTAGGAAATACAGATGTCATGAATTTTAAGCGCTCCATTTTATCGGTACTTCAAACGAATTTGGTGCGTGACAAAGAAAATGTCATAGAGACGGACGTCATGGGGAAACACAACTCACGCTACATGTAAGTACATTATTAATAAATTGTCCTATATATGTGTGCAATGTGCATGATGAAGGCAAACAAAAAAATAACAATGCAACTGACAAGAAAAATCTCATTACATCTTTATAGGTTGATTTACCTAATGTTTATTTATTTATTTATTATTATTTTTTGCGTTGTCCTTTCCATGCTTTTTTATAATAATCAAATGTAAAATAGCCTTTCAAATTCATATATATGATTTCTGTTTATCACACTTTGTTTCCTTTGTGTTGCTGATGTCATTCAGTTTATAACATATTGTTATTATAACTATAACATTACCAATATCACTTCTTTTATCCTAGGTCAACAGAGCTGCAGTTTGGGGAAATAGAAATTAAGAAGCATTTTTCCTCCAAGGACATCTATGCGGAGGATAATACTGACTTGGACACCGACGAAGTGGACATCGAGACAGATGAAGTCCAGCGTGTTAGTGGAGGTATACTGACCAGCGTCTCCGGACACGTACAGGTGTTTGACAAACCCGAAGATCAGGTAGATATGATTTGATTGATAGCCGCACAATAGGTATAACGAAGTATGACATATTGGCTTTATAGTTATGTGAAATGACAATTTTTGGAAGCCTTTCATATCATCTACATGATATTTTGGGACAATCGATTACCGATTGGTTAAAGATCGCCCGTCAGGTAAAATGGAGATCATGGAAAATAATTTAATACAGTGTACGAAAAATTGAATATTCATTTTGCATAACAAGGTGGAAATGTGCGTTGTACTAGCGGACTACATGTAATGTAATAAATAGACGGAATGGTACAAAACTGAATATGAATAATAACGGCTATAAGTAATCATGAATTATTATACTTTATAGCATTGTTCATTTATTCCTTCAGGATGAGTCTATCACCCCTGAGGAAGGGGGTAATATTGATCTTGGGGCATATTTGACCTCTAACGTGACCTTCACGTTGACCTTGCGTAAGCACGTAAAGCGTTCCGTTAAAAGCGTTCAAAGAATGGAAGCGGCAGTTAACGCTCAATTCCAGAAACGATCCTTGATCGGAGAATATGACCAGGGTAAGTGTACCAGCTTCTAGTAATATGCTCATCAAAATAAAAATAAATTTTTGAAGTTAACATTTTTGACATTAAATTTTAAGTTTGCCAACAGACAAATAAATTTTAAAAAAATCGCCAGCTGTGTGTTACAGTCGATAGCTGTGAGAATTTCCTCAAGATAACAGCTTAGATTTTATATGGGCGAATCCAGGAGTTTACTATCGAGGGATACAGGTATATAGGAATTAGTCCCACTTCGTTCTGTAAATAAGATAGTAGGCAAGCACGTTAGTATGTATCGATGAAAATCACCTGATATTGTTCCATGCTGACGGTAAATCATTTTACGAGAGGAGAGGGAAAGAAAGGTGTGCAACTTAAAAGCTAAGTGAGCGGCTTCTATCCATCGTAGGATCTACCCGTGCTCTTTCTTTTTATTATAAAAAATATGTTACTGATTAGCCTATGTTATGAGGGAACTACAGTTCTGAGAAAGACTATAATAATAATAGTAATAATGATAATAATAATAATAATTTTATTAAGCACTAAATGTGTACAAATCACCTTTTATGGGCTCTTTACTCTACAAGTATGTTTTTATACCAGGGTATTTGTTTTTACAAAATACATAGTGAACAAAATAGCAATGAGATATAACATATCTGATTTGTGCACTAATTTCTAATTAGTGAGTATTTCTTTCATTTTATAATACCTGTATCAACTTTTTTACACAAGTCGGCGTGTACTGCACTATATTTAACCTATTTCAGTGTCTGGTGTGTACCAAAGATGGACTATTCTGAGGAAAAAGTTCGATGAAGAAGATAAGCTAGGTCAAGCTGTGACAAACTTTATGAAAGATCCAACAGATACGTCAAAATGTATGTATTATAGTGTTAATTTATCCTTTTGGAGAGATTGTTTCTGAGCAAAATCGATTAAAATGCCCGTAGAAGACGTGTTTATCAGTGCTTCTGGTTGAGAAAGATACTGTCACACATGTGGTAAATTCGGAAAGGGGAGAGAAGGGGATACCTGTAAGTCCACTAATCGCCAATGTCAAACTTATGGACCTTCACATACTGACCGGATTTTTTTTAGTACACGAAGTGAACGAAATCCTGTCCTTGGAAAATGAACTCGGGATGGCACACAACAACGCAACTTCTGCAGCCGCCAACAAGCCGGCCTTGGTTAAGCAACTGATACAAGTTACAAAAGAGGTTTGCCTTCAGTAATATTTTAAAATCTTTCTCTAACATGTTTAGTTATCACTTGACATATATAGTTATAGACTGATCAAAATGTCACAGTCTCGTTTACAATATCAAGAAACCTGCTCAACAGAGAATATCATTTTTACACCATTGATGGTATTTTTATTTAGACACAATTATTATTTAAAGTAGTGACAGTGGTCTATTAAAGAGACTATTTGCCATGGGTGCGTCATACCGATCCCTGGTCAGCTATTTTTTGTGCCATCCTTTTCCTTTCTATTTCTGAAAACGTTTAAAAAATAGCTGTGAAACGTCATACTTATATATTTTGAAATATTGCTTTTATGATTGACGATTTCACTATTTTTTTTTACCTAACGTGAATCTATTTTCTACCTAAACAAATCATTAATGGGTTTGGTATGGAGACATTCTGCTTGTTACTGCGCTGATTATAATATCAGCTAACAAATACATACCTCCATTTTAGATGGTTTCCAAGTGTTCAACAAATTGGGAAATTTGCAAAGAAATTTTGGACCTTTACATCACCGCTGGCGGCAAAGAAGCCGAAAAGGTAACGCACAGAATATTAAAGGGATAATAACTCTTCGTATGATATCTATATTTCACAATAAAAACATTGTGAACAACTCATAGAAATATAATATATTCTGTTTTACCACAAAAACGGCAGTTATAGCTATTATTCTGATATCTGAGCTTGTCTTCAGACCACGTGACCTCCATTGATGGCTGTACTCAGTTATAATCTCTTAAGAGATTTTAACAAAAAACCAAACTTTTTAGAAAAAAAACAGGGACTAACTTTGAATGTAAAAATGGATTCATTAACCATTGGCAAGTATGGAAAAATTGTTGTTTACTCCAGGAAAATTCATTTTTTGGCCAAAACGAAGAGTTATTATCCCTTTAAGTATCATAGTAACTTTATTACTTTGGAATGGCTTTTATACTTGTTTTAACTATCCTTATCCTGAAAGGTCTGCTTTTACCTTTAAAATGTGTACTGAAAAATGCGGAACTAATCTACCATCGTGATATTGTTTACAGTAGAGCCAATTGAACAAAGTGACAAAATTCCATTTTTTTTTTTTAAATTTTATACGTAAATTTACCTTAAAAAGTATCACAAAGTTACAAGTCTTCATTTTAGACACTGTCCAGTTTGGTCCAGTATCACCCCCTTGCTGCCGACCAAAAACAGGAACTTGTACAGAAGCTGTCCTTTATTGCCAAACCCACAAACCACATCTTAACCACAGTCAAGACACTCTGGAACACGCTGTCCTCTCAACGTGATCCATCCCAAAGTCACGTCATACTTACCCTCGGCTCCCTCGCCTCGAAGGAACCTACCAGCGCTGGTTTCCAGTCAGAGTTGGTGGATCTTCTTCGACGACATCTTCAATCAGGCGACAAAAATAACAACACGGAGCAAATCAGTGACGCTCTTGAGGCTATAGGTAACTTTGGAGACAACAGACTAACATCGGATGTATTGGCAATTGCTAAAAAGGAAGGACAAGTGGAAGAGATAGAGATAGGCTGTATCCACGCTCTGAGAGGAAACTTCCACGTTGAGTTGGTTCTGAAATGGCTAGTAGATTTGTTGACTCGTCCAACATCTAGCTGTGAAGTACGTGAAGCTGCTGTTGTGACCATCAAAGGCGAACTTGCCTACAGAAAGGTTCTGGATACCAAAAACAAGGCATGGCCTAATTCTGGTCAAACAGAGGTGGACAGAATTCTTCTCAATGCACTTCTTACGGCAGATATAAGATATGAGTGCGCATTTTCAGATATTAAGGAGTACCTCCAACTTAAAGGGGTGCCCTTTGGTGATCTTATTGAGACTGTTGAGACGGTGAATTCCACGCGCACTAAAAGAGGAGTTGACCATGTTAGTTGCAGTTCTTGGAGCACCCACGGTTCACGGTATTCAGAATTGTTAAGTTCATCGCAGTTCTCAAGCGATAACAGCAAATACCCGGAAAACAAGCACTGTCTATCCCACATCAGGTACGGTCCCTCGAAAGTAAATATCTATATCAAGTCTGGTGTGTTTGCTGGTAGAAATAGAAGACGAAGATACTGTAAAGTGTACGGCAAATCATTTGCCAAACTCAAAGTTTTCTCCAAACGGTTTGCACTTGCAACCGCAATAGCCTATCGTTATAAAACTAGCAAAACTAGAACAAGGGTCTATCTCAAAGTCTACGGGAAGATTGTGATAAACATATACACACCTGGCTCGGTGAAGAGAAACTTTCCAGTTTACCAACCACCACCTAAATCCATCAACGTGTTCAGCTTTTTCATCTACGTCGCTAAAGTCTCCGTTACCATTACCTTGGCCCCTAGAGTGGACTTTCGTGTCAGGGCAGGCTTTTGTGCTCGGTCATCTGATCCCTGCTCCCACTGTCTGACGATGACTCTGAAAGCAAGTGCCCGAATTTCTGGCGGTGGCTCAGCTAATTTGCTTGTAAGTATAGGCAACATGTATTTGTGTGCAAATGGTAAAATAATTAAGAGTGAGATTTTGATTATGATTTCAATTAAATAATTCGGATTTGAAAAGTGATATCTGTTCATTTTTCAGATGCGTTTAAATATTAAAGAGACCAATACGGTTATTTCTCGAAACATTTGCAACATATTGTAGATGCTTGGAAGAATAAACGTGCAAGTAAGATGGGCTCAATCATTTTTATTGACTGGAATCATAAAAAAGGCGAATCGTGTAGTATAACATCAACCGCCGGTTATTGTTGAAATCTTGAGCAAAACGCTAATTGGTATAATTGTGATACTCTAAATCCACAAGTTTATTGATTCCAATATTTGATTCCACAAATGTGACATACATTGTTTTCAGTCACTGGCTCGCGGTGGGATTGACATCGGCGTTACCCTCAATTACTTAGTTGAAGGAGAGGCGAAGCTCTATCCGAGACTTTGTGTCTCGCTCTACCACGGCCACGACCCCATGAAGATTAACGTTGAAGCTTGGTATCAACTGAGAACTAAGATTAAGATAAAAGGTTGGAGATTCTGGGTAAGTTATAAAGTGAGGTATATGTACTTTGAAATTATTTCATATATGTGCAATTCAAATCCAATTTCACTCACCTAGGCTTTACATTAGCTTACACCAATTTGATAACTTGAAAAGGTAACAACTATTCATATGAGATTCAAATGTCCACAGTGAATACAATGTAAACAACACATAGAAATATATATAATATGAATTCCATTTGACCTTAAAAATGCGGATATTGCAATATTTTTGAAATCTGTGCTGGCCATGGGACCATATAAACCTTCAGAGGTAGCTATTCTCCGTAATAGTGACAAAAGAGATTTTTACAATAAACTCGCTAAAAACAATCGACCATCTTTGATTTTCAGAAGGGGTTTATTAACCATTTGAACGTATGGGAAAATAGATGTTTACCCCAGGAAAATCCGTTTTATCACAGTCCCCCCCCCCCCCAAAAAAAAAAAAAAAAAGGGCGAGGTTTCTAACCATTTAAGGCTAGTCTGGATTCATTTTGTATAATTTTTATAGTATTTTCATATAAATCTCAGTCATTTTGTATTCCACTTTGATTTATTTCATATAGAAGTGGAGATGGACCTGGGGGAAAAGAAAGACTTGGAGTCCGTCGTCTCTGTCTTGGAAGCTGGGAAGCTCTAAAAGAAAACGCATTGCTAGAACGGGCAGTTGCTAGACACGTTGGCTTAGAGTTCCCCACTAAGTTTTAATATACTACTGAGTGTATAATTTACTTGCGTGTAAGTGGATAATTTTGGATATTTACAATTGTGCATATGCGTGCATCAAATTCTTTTTCACATCAAAGACTAGATATAATTACAACTGCAACTAGGTTTTACGTAGTACATGTAATATTATGAGACCCAAATCATGCATTTTATGTATTTTATGTAGTTTCCTATAAATGGTACCCGTGGTAAATTTTTCCACAACCTATTTCATTTCATTTGATTTGCTGGTTTTCATCATTTATTTATTTATTTATTATCTTCAGTTAAATAGATCTTTACCTTATCTTATTATTTATTAATTGGGTAACTAATGATTATTTTATTATTGGTTATTTTCAGTATTTTTGTTCATGATAAATAAGCACGTTCGTTCTCGAAGAAAAGTATATGGACCACATGGTACAATATTTTTTCGGATTTTCTTTTAAATAATTATTCAGAATAATATCGTATAAAATTCTTTAACGTTAGTGACTTATTAAAGTGGGGAAGGTTTGAATAATTGTTTAGTAGCTTATATCTATCAGTTTGGAGAGTATCTTTCCGTCAGTAATTTTCATTTGTATTTATTCAGATTTTATTGATTTTCTCTTTTGTTTGGCTGTAATTGTTATTATGACAGATTACAATAAATGCTCTAGCTTGCATAAGAAATCGTTGTGTTGTAACTCGTGTCTTTTAAATGATTTGAACTACCAATTGCAAAGAACTTGGAGCTTCGAGACTTGGAGAAAAACAGGGATGTTAAATAATATGGGCAGTGGGCTCAACTATCAGAAACAAACAAAATACAAATCATAGTTTACAATTCAGTCGAAAGAGGAGACAAGGGCATTTCCAAACTGCATGCTTCCTTCACGCAATATACGCTAGACACGTGTCTTATACTTTCATTCAAACAAAGTTTGTTTTTCATCCACCAATGGCCTTTAATTTCTCGAAGTATTCCCTCACAGCATCACTGGCATTACACCACTGCCTTATATGTGATGACCGCCAGAATGACTCCAACGCTACAAGCACTATTATCTCACCAATCATGCAGTACAACTGCTGTTATAGGTCAGTTAGAAAATAATGGTCTTAAACGCACTACTAAACGCCAGATTAGAAAGAAACAGAAAGCTGTGATCCGCAGACCAAGTTAATACGGATGCGTTTTTTAAATAAATAAACCATATCATAGTGGTTTATAAGAGTACACCTCTCTCACCTATCGCCGCATGAATCTCCGCTAACACAATGTAGGTTTCAGAGCAGTTGCGATTATAATTATGATGTAATAATATAATGCAATGGTGGTTAAAACCCCCTTCTACATTAAACATATATAGCATGTATTCTGGCTTTGGACCGGTGAAACGTTCTAGTATATACAGAAAAATACTACTGTGACTGTCTATCTGCCTTCCAGACTACCGGAACTTCTCGGGACTACAGTTTTCCGCATATAGCGGTGCTTGATGTATAATTTTCGTGCTAAGTAAACACAAGCTGGCAAAATAGCATGCCATTATATGAAAAATGTCTACCACTCTTCTGTGTCAAAATACTCGATTCATGCAATCTTTCACCTAGGACATAATTTTGATGTATTCCTGAAAAGAATGCAGATTAAGTACAGAATAAGTGAAGGGTGATTACGAGAGTTGTTGGATTAATCTCACAGTAAGTTATGTATGCCACTATAATTACTGAACCTCTGACCATGTTTGCATTTGTATAATTTTGCCTTAATTAATTAATTATTTATTTATTTTATTTTATTTATTTGTCTCAGCAATCTATATATTCGCATTACGGATCACGCTTTTTGCGAATGGTATATCGATAATAATATATCGATTTAAGTGGTTATGACAAATAAAAAAGAGTAAGAACTACTCCCACGCAAACTTTTAGACGGCCTGATTCAAAAGAATACCTAACACAGACCATTTCTTATATTTTAATACAACAGCATTTTGTTTTAAGTCTTCTCTTGTGATGCTTACCAGGTTTTGTCGTACAATAAATAATTGAAAAGCGTAAAACGCAGCTGTTAAGGGACGTGAATGGAGTTAAAACATTAGAATTTAATAACAGCAGCTAGCTGGGAGAGGAAACACTCTAGTATTACGTACATGTCAAGGTATGTACGCTACTATAGTGAAAGACCTTCATAAATACTCCACAGCAAAAGATATTTCAAATCCGCGCATTCATCTCATTCTGTACTGAATTGTTTTGAAACTGCCAAAGAGAAAGAAAAAGGACATTGGTAAAGTTCCCTTTCATGTGTGCATTTTATTATCATCTATGAACCGCACAGATAAATGCATTCAAAAGACTAGTTAGAATTCATGTACGAATGAATATTAAAAATTAATCAGGTGAATGAGTCGAGGATGTTTGCCAGTGTTCCGCCATGTAGATATAAAGGTAAAATGCGATGGCCTCACTTACAAAGATAGACCCTTGAAACAGTATAATCCAAAGCGAGGACACTACGAGGAGCCTATCTCAGTGTCACACGCCATTGGAACATAAAGGCGGATTTTCTTCAGTCAAGTTACACTAAGGATTACATGAAACCACAGTAAAGGAAATAAAAAGGAAATAAGATAAGGTAAGCAAAAATATTTATAGTTATGGAGGTCAAAGTCGCGTTAAATTATAAGACAAGTAATTTCGACACAAATCTGCTTGAAATTCCAGGCGAGTGTGACACCATTATGAGGTATTGTGAGAAGGTGTACAACGCCTCTCTCTCTCTCTCTCTCTCTCTCTCTCGAAGCATAAATGCAGGCCTGACAGGTGTCCTTGCAGCTCTACATTGGCGCTCTATATATATATTATAACTTCTTCCTTGTACATGGCTGAAAAAGTACTGGTACCAAACAAAATATATAACGCGTAACCTATGTATTCCTTGTGTTGAAAATAGCTCACACTACGCAGTACTAAAAAAACTACATTATATTACCTATACTCGGTCAGTAAGAAATTAAATTTGGACTTTAATGCCTCTGTGTGGAAATGTGTTCGACAATGATCGCACTGCTCAGGGTAGGGGAGCCCGGATAGAAAGATTTCTTATTATGACCCTGACTCAGAATGTTCCTAAATCAATCAGTGAATATATTACCAACAACCTTAACGATGCTTTATTACTATTCTGGAAACACATTTACAAATTTTACTTACTGATATACAGAGTTCGTTTTAACATCAACCTGTTTAAAAGACTTTAGCCTGACTTCCTGTTTTAAGAAATCTGATTTAAAACAAAGAAATTGACACAGTTAGTGAGCCTGTATTATGGATCAAAATTAGACATATTTGCTATAAAATCTATTTGCTTATTCCAATGCGGGTTTTTAATCCCAACCAATGATGTCGTAGTCATATATTGAGATATGATTGTAGCTTAACGTACATATGATTCAAACAGTTTTCCAAGCTGGTGTACTGGTGTTTGATTATTTATGTGATGGAAACATGCCTTATTCATATAACGATATTGTATCAGTTTTGAACGACCGATGGTGGCAGTGATTTATTCCGAACAATTTACGTGCAAGATTTTCTTTTGTGCCTATATGAGAGCGAGCCAATTTCTATTTTAAAACGTATATTTTCTCTTGTTATTTCAATTTATTTATTTATTTATTTATTTTTGTCATTTGCAGTAGCATTTAAAATTGAAGGCAGTAAAACCTAGGTATTTATCAAAACCTATGACCTATGATATGATGTAGGTTTGATTTTTAAACAAACTTTCTTTGAACAAAGACTGCGATCTTAACCCCTATGAAAGCTCTTGCCGTTTAAAGGTTTGCGGAGTCACGTGTGTCTCATTGAAATATTTTATTAATGCCATCATTTGATCTTAGCCGATATAATATTTCAATTTTGACTCGATATTCGCGTCTCGGATAGGTTCTAGGCATATTGACTACAGCAGAGTAGATAATCCTTAACAATAGGGGTCCTTTGTTAAAACTATCCGCCATATGGGTGAAGTGCTAGTTTCCTCGGTCAAAATCTTTATTTGATCGAAACTGCTCTTTTCTATATAATTAAGCCAAGGCGTCACCACAAATCCATATTTGCTAAACCATTCATTCTTAATCATTCTAGATTTGCTTGTTTGAATGAAAAAATTTGGAAATGATGGCCATTGTAAAATGATTCAAGATAGATTCGTTCCCGACATACTTATCTATACCTATCTATTTACTCAGTCTCTCTGCCTTTGATTTCTGCTTTTTATATTCGCTGGTCGGACTTACTGTTGACCTCAGTTTGTGTTCAAGTGAATCATTCAAACTAATGACTAAGAAACAAGTATATGGGCGTTGTCGTATGTGAGAAAAGGGCCATCCCGGTTTCCTATAAATATTGATATCTGTGGTGTTTGGTACTGTTGTAGCAGTGCGGAACCTTAAACGTGCTACATGAATAAATTACAAATACATCTTGAGATGATAAGCTAACAAATCCCATAATGTTACCATATAAATTCGATTTTTTAAGAGCCAGTCTGTGAATTTCATTTTGAAAATTCTAACAGGTGCAAATCGTGTTGACGTGACTTTTAGTCATCTTTTTATTTGTTTATCTGTTATTTTGGAATCATCAAATTTTGATATATAATACGTATGTATTGTTCCACGCCCTATCATGCTAGCACATTACAACCATGCTAGCACATGTTTGTATTTAGATAAATAATTATTTGTTGCAACACACCTCTTTATGTGGAATCGATAGTTATCATCCCGTATTTATTTCAGTTTGATTCAGGGAGAATAAGGACCTTCTTACATCGCCAAACAAAAATAACAAGGACCTGGGTTTTCAGATATCCAATTAAGAAAAAGGTACACACGCTGAAGACAGCAATTCACTTCAGACAAAGTAAGAGAGCATGATGAGATTTCAACAGGTCCTGCTTGGTTTAATTGTAGCTTTCGGAGCACGTAAAGGTAAGTGAAAGTTTAGTTTATATGAAACTTCAAAGCGTACAAGTTGAATGTACTTTGTTAAATACATCAATCTAAACGGCTGTGTGTTACAGTATTTTTACGACCGATGTTTGGAAACAAGCCTAGTATACAGCCCTGTATAGGGCCTTGTATGTTTATTCCTTGCGTAATAATAATAATAATAATAATAATAATAATAATGTGAAGAATGGCAAAAAGGAAACGGATAAATAAACAAACACATGAAACGTATTTTTACAAAATGTGTATATTCACTAATCTTGAAATCAGAACAATGAATTTATATGAAATTCTATGTAATATGAATTTTATTCTCTTTAGTGCACGGCCAGACCGTAACGCTGACTCCACCGACTGTTATGACGTCACCAGGACTTGACGTCACTCTCCACTGCACCTTCCAGGGAACTTGGATATTTGGCTACAATTTGCAGTGGCTAAAGGACGGTGCTCCTATCGCTGGGAAAAGTGGAACAGTTCCGCAACCCCCGTTCAACAATGGCCAGTTTGTCCTGACCTTTAATGCTGGAGTTGACATTCAATACACACTGAATATAACGGGTAGGTCTTTAATACGTGATCATACTTTTTTAAAGAAGTCAAAAACAGGGAAATCCCTTTGTCTGCATGCAGGCCTAACCATGCTTTCACTTATTTGAATTTTTAAATATCCAAACAGATCTGAAATATTCTAAAATCGATAAAAAATAATTGTTAGCAATCCCCATGGTAAGAGGTAGTTCGATGAAAATTATCTCAATTATTCTAAAGAAATTACAATTGAAATGAAAAATATTAGTAATAAGCGTGAAGTACGAAATCCCGCTTTGGCTTCAGGAATTCAAGCAGCAAACGCAGGAACATATCGGTGTGAGCTGACCAGTTCTTCCACTGTAATCAGTAGCGGGGAGATTCCTGTAACTGTGGGTAAGTACGTGACATCTATCTGTATTGTGTTAGGTGAGATACGTTTGATGTAATGCCACAATGTCAGATAACTACGTGATACCTACCTGCTACCCAGCATTGTGTTAAGTGAGATAAGGTTTGATGCAGTGATGCACTCTCAAATAAGACCGTTTGGAATCTTTAAGTACCCGAAATAAGGGGAAACACTAAATCCGTTCTACACACAAAAGACAAAAAAAGCTTTGTGAGTCACTAANTACATAAGAAATCGTTGTGTTGTAACTCGTGTCTTTTAAATGATTTGAACTACCAATTGCAAAGAACTTGGAGCTTCGAGACTTGGAGAAAAACAGGGATGTTAAATAATATAGGCAGTGAGCTCAACTATCAGAAACAAACAAAATACAAATCATAGTTTACAATTCAGTCGAAAGAGGAGACAAGGGTATTCCCAAACTGCATGCTTCCTTCACGCAATATACGCTAGACACGTGTCTTATACTTTCATTCAAACAAAGTTTGTTTTTCATCCACCAATGGCCTTTAATTTCTCGAAGTATTCCCTCACAGCATCACTGGCATTACACCACTGCCTTATATGCGATGACCGCCAGAATGACTCCAACGCTACAAGCACTATTATCTCACCAATCATGCAGTACAACTGCTGTTATAGGTCAGTTAGAAAATAATGGTCTTAAACGCACTACTAAACGCCAGATTAGAAAGAAACAGAAAGCTGTGATCCGCAGACCAAGTTAATACGGATGCGTTTTTTAAATAAATAAACCATATCACAGTGGTTTATAAGAGTACACCTCTCTCACCTATCGCCGCATGAATCTCCGCTAACACAATGTAGGTTTCAGAGCAGTTGCGATTATAATTATGATGTAATAATATAATGCAATGGTGGTTAAAACCCCCTTGTACATTAAACATATCTAGCATGTATGCTGGCTTTGGACCGGTGAAACGTTCTAGTATATACAGAAAAATACTACTGTGACTGTCTATCTGCCTCCAAGACTACCAGAACTTCTCGGGACTACAGTTTTCCGCATATAGCGGTGCTTGATGTATAATTTTCGTGCTAAGTAAACACAAGCTGGCAAAATAGCATGCCATTATATGAAAAATGTCTACCACTCTTCTGTGTCAAAATACTCGATTCATGCAATCTTTTACCTAGGACATAATTTTGATGTATTCCTGAAAAAAATGCAGATTAAGTACAGAACAAGTGAAGGCGTGATTACGAGTTGCAGGATTAATCTCACAGTAAGTTATGTATGCCACTATAATACTGAACGACTGGCCATTATTTATTTATTTATTAATTCATTTAATTTTTTGTCTCATCAATTTATATATTCCCATTACGGTTATAGAATCACGCTTTTTGCGAATGGTATATCGGTTTAAGTGGTTATGACAAATAAAAAAAGAGTAAGAGCTACTCCCACACAAACTTTAAGTCGACCTGATTCAAAAGAACACGACATGGATAGTGAACCTAATACCTGTATAACACTGACAACTTTTTTTATACTTTAATACAACAGCATTTTGTTTTAAGTCTTCTCTTGTGATGCTTACCAGGTTTTGTCATCCAATAAATAATTGAAAAGCGTAAAACGCAGCTGTTAAGGGACATGAATGGAGTTGAAACATTAGAATTTAATAACAGCAGCTAGCTGGGAGAGGAAACACATCTCTAGTATTACGTACATCTCAAGGTATGTACGCTGTACTATAGTGCTGAAAGACCGCCATAAATACTCCACTGCAAAAGATATTTCAAATCCGCGCATTCATCTCTTTCTATACTGAATTGTTTTGAAACTGCCAAGAGAAAGAAAAAGGACATTGGTAAAGTTCCCTTTCATGTGTGCATATTTTATTATCATCTATGAACCGCACAGATAAATGCATTCAAAAGACTAGTTAGAATTCATGTACAAATGAATATTAAAAATTAATCAGGTGAATGAGTCGAGGATGTTTGCCAGTGTTCCGCCATGTAGATATTAAGGTAAAATGCGATGGCCTCACTTACAAAGATAGACCCTTGAAACCCTATAATCTAAAGCGAGGACACTACGAGGAGCCTGTCTCAGTGTCACACGCCATTGGAACATAAAGGCGGAATTTCTTCAGTCAAGTTACACTAAGGATTACATGAAACCACAGTAAAGGAAATAAAAAAGGAAATAAGATAAGGTAAGACTAATTATTTTTTAGTTATGGAGGTCAAAGTCGCGTTAATTTATAAGACAAGTAATTTCGACACAAATCTGCTTGAAATTCCGGGCTAGTGTGTCCCTATTATTAGGTATTGTGAGACCGTATACAACGTTCTCTCTCTCTCTCTCTCTCTCTCTCTCTCTCTCTCTCTCTCAGGTGTTTTCGCAGCTCTAAATTGGCGCTCTCTCTCTATATATATATATATTATACCTAATTTATTGTACATGACTGAAAAACTACTGGTACCAAACAAAATATATAACGCGTAACCTCTTTATTTTTTGTGTTGAAAATAGCTAACGCTACGAGTACTAAAAAACTACATTATATTATCTATACTTGGTCAGTAAGAAATTAAATTTGGATTTAAGTGCCTCTGTGTGGAAATGTGTTCGACAATGATCGCACTGCTCAGGGTAGGGGAGCGCGGATAGAAAGATTTCTTATCATGACCGTGACTCAGAATGTTCCTAAATCAATCAGTGAATATATTGCCAACAACCTTAACGATGCTTTATTACTGTTCTGGAAACACATTTACAAATTTCACTTTCGGGTATAGAGAGTTCGTTTTAACATCAACCTGTTTAAAAGACTTTAGCCTGACTTCCTGTTTTAAGAAATCTGATTTAAAACAAAGAAATTGACACAGTTGGTGAGTATGTATTGTGGATCAAAATCAGTCATATTTGCTATTAAATCTATTTGCTTATTCCAATGCGGGTTTTTAATCCACACCAGTGATGTTGGAGTCATATATTGAGATATCATTGCAGCTTAACGTACATATGATTCAAACAGTTTTTCAAGCTGGTGTACTGATCTTTGATTATTTATGAGATGGAAGCATGCCTTATTCATATAACGATATTGTATCAGTCTTGAACGACCGATGGTGGCAGTGATTTATTCCGAACAATTTACGTGCAAGATTTTCTTTTGCTCTCATATAAGAGCGAACTAATTTCTATTTTAAAACGTACATTTTCTCTTGATATTCCTATCTATTTATTTATTCATTTTTGTTCAAAGCCATTTGCAGTAGCATTTAATTGAGGCTCGACACCAATAGAAGGTTGTAAAACCATAAGTATTTATCAAAACCAATGACCTATGACAGATATAGGTTTAATATTAAAGCAAACTTTCTTTGAACAAAGACTTCGATCTTAACCCCTATGACAGCTTGTGCCATTTAGATTTTTGCGGAGTCACGTGTGTCTCATTGAACTATTTTATTAATGCCATCATTTGCTCTTAGCCGATATAATATTTCAATATTGACTCGATATTCGCGTCTCGGAGAAGTTCTAAGCAGATTGACTAAAGCAGAGTAGATTATCCTTAACAATAGGGGTCCTTTGTTAAAACTATCCGCCATATGGGTGAAGTGCTGGTTTCCTAGGTCAAAAATCTTATTCGATCGAAACTGCTCTTTTCTGCATAATTAAGCCAAGGCTTGACCACAAACCCATATTTGCTAAACCATTCATTCTTAATCATTCTTGATTTGCGAGTTCGAAAGAAAAATTTTGGAAATGATGGCCATTGTAAAATGATTCAAAATAGATTCTTTCCCGACATACCTATCTATACCTATTTATTTTCTCAGTCTTTCTGCCTTTGATTTCTGCTTTTTATATTCTCTGGTCGGACTCACTGTTGACTGCAGTTTGTGTTCAAGTGAATCATTCAAACTAATGACTAAGAAACAAAGTACTAAGTATATGGGCGTTGTCGTATGTGAGAAAAGGGCCATCCCGATTTCTTATAAATATTGATATCTGTGATGTGTGGTATTGTTGTACATGTAGCAGTGCGGAACCTTAAACATACTGCATGAATAAATTACAAATATCTTGAGATGATAAGCTAACAAATCCCATAATGTTACCACATAAATTTGATTTTTAAGTGCCAGTCTGTGAATTTCATTTTGAAAATCCTAACAGGTGCAAATTATGTTGACGTGACTTTTAGTCATCTTTTTATTTGTTTATCTGTTATTTGTTTTGGAATCATTGAATTTTGATAAATGTATATCGTGTATCTGTATGTATTGGTCCACGCCCAATCATGCTAGCAGGTTACAACCATGCTAGCACATGTTTGTATTTAGATAAATAATTATTTGTTGCAACACACCTCTTCGTGTGGAATCGATAGTTATCATCCCGTATTTATTTCAGTTTGATTCAGGGAGAAAAATTACCTTCTTACATCGCCAAACAAAAATAACAAGGACCTGGGTTTTCAGATATCCAGTTAGGGAAAAGGTAAAAACGCTGAAGAGACCAATTCACTGCAGAAAAAGTAAGAGAGCATGAGATTCCAACAGGTCCTGCTTGGTCTAATTGTAGCTTTTGGAGCACGTAAAGGTAAGTGAAAGTTTATTTTATATAAAACTTCAAAGCGTATACAAGTTGAATGTACTTTGCTAATTACATCAATCTAAACGGCTGTGTGTGACAGAATTTTTACGACTGATGTTTGGAAACAAGCCTAGTATACAGCCCTGTATAGGGCCTTGTATGTTTACTCCTTGCTAAATAATAGTAATAATAATAATAATAATAATAATATGAAGAAAGACAAAAAGGAAATGGATAAATAAACACAGTATTTTTACAAAAAGTGTATATCCACTACATACTAGTATTGTATGTTTCGATCATCATTTAAGGTTCGTGAAATCAGAACAATGAATTTACATGAAATTCTATGTAATATGAATTTTATTCTCTTAAGTGCACTGCCAGACCGTAACGCTGACTCCGCCCACTGTTATGACGTCACCAGGAGTTGACGTAACTCTCCACTGCACCTTCCAGGGCACTTGGCTATTTGGCTACAATTTGCAGTGGCTAAAGGACGGTGCTCCTATCGCTGGGAAAAGTGGAACAGTTCCACAACCCCCGTTCAACAATGGCCAGTTTGTTCTGACCTTTAATGCTGGAGTTGACATTCAATACACACTGAATATAACGGGTAAGTCTTTAATACGTGATCATACTTTTTTAAAGAAGTCAAAAACAGGGAAATCCCTTTGTCTGCATGCAGGCCTAACCATGCTTTCACTTATTTGAATTTTTAAATATCTAAACAGATCTGAAATATTCTAAAATCGATAAAAAATAACTGTTAGCAATCCCCATGGTAAGATGTAATTCAATGAAAATTATCTCAATTATTGTAAAGAAATTACAATTGAAATGAAAAATATTAGTAATAAGCGTAATCATGAAGTACGAAATCCCGCTTTGGCTTCAGGAATTCAAGCAGCAAACGCAGGAATATATCGGTGTGAGCTGACCAGTTCTTCCACTGTAATCAGTAGCGGGGAGATCCCTGTAACTGTGGGTAAGTACGGGACATCTGTCTGTATTGTGTTAGGTGAGATACGTTTGATGTAATGCCACAATGTCAGATAACTACGTGATACCTACCTGCTATCCAGCATTGTGTTAAGTGAGATAACGTTTGATGCAGTGATGCACTCTCAAATAAGACTGTTTGGAATCTTTAAGTACCCGAAATAAGGGGAAACACTAAATCCGTTCTACACACAAAAGACAAAAAAAAGCTTTGTGAGTCACTAAAATTGATAAATGGTAAATTTGTTCCTCATAATCAATTAAGAGATTCAACAAAAAATATACACGACGATCAATTTGTATCGTTGAAGTGTATTATATGCCACAAAAATTTTGATTTGGTGTCCATGAGATCGCAGACGCAAGACAATAATAAAAACCTGTTAATCGGTAAATGCAGCAACTTTTTCGTCTTTTTGAAAGACTTTAATTTGTCATGGAAAGTTTGAAATTATACAAGTATTTCATAACACAATGTTTTAGTACATACGTTTTCCCTATCTTGTCTACAGACATAGACGAATGTAGTGACGCAGCGTTGAACGACTGCGCAGCAAACGCCACGTGCACCAATACAGTCGGAAGTTACACTTGCGCCTGCGTAGAGGGATATTCTGGAAATGGCACTTATTGCGAAGGTAGGCTGCAGATTAGCAAATTAAACTCTGTTCTGTTGCAGATTAGCAAATTAAACTCTGCTCTGTAAAGAGCCTAGAGGTACATTACTTTTGTGGAAAAATGAATAAATGTGTTTTACTTTTTGACGTTTTATATATATATATATATATATATATATATATATATATATATATAAAACGTCAAAAAGTAAAACACATTTATTCATTTTTTTATTCATATATATATATATATATATATATATATATATATATATATATATATATATTATTGCGTTTATTTAGTATTTTACATAATTATGCTATTTTTTCTGCTAACTTGATTCTTTAATTGTCCCTTTAATTGTCTCCTTTTAACTTCTATTATCCTTGGTACTGTACTATATTTATAATTTGTTAATCCCTGTTCTCGTTCGTTAGATATAGACGAATGCACTACCACCAATGTCACTACATGTGCCGCGGAGGCGACATGCACAAATTCTCCGGGCAGCTATAGCTGCGTCTGCAATTTGGGTTACTCTGGCAACGGATCAGTATGCACAGGTAACCTTTTTAAATAAGAAGTAATGTCTACAGATTAGATAAGTTTTGATACGTGTTGAAAACATACCTGTCACTTAAAACTCGGTTTTCTGATTTCATTTATATTATCACTGGCGCATATATTGTGACGATGCCACAAGTTTACTCTGGCTGAATGACATCGATTTTATGCTTAGTACTGCTTTACACTGGACGGCGTCCTTTCTGCGTCCTTTCTGCGACCATGAAATTTGGCATCGCTTTGGTCTTAATAAGGAGGCAGGAGCATTGGTTTTGTATCAGAATGAATGCTCAATGATCGGCCAGTTGTCGGCACGTAAAGCATTATAATTTTTTAACTCTTAAATGGGGCCGTACTGCTGGACGCAGAAAGAACGCCGTCCAGTGTAAAGGGGGCTTTACATACATATTTTGATTAATTTTCGTTTTAGTGAACTCTGTATTAGAATTCTGTAAACAGTGCACTCACTACCTGCCCGCATGCGCTATGACCACAAATGGATTGTAGATTAAAGTATTGCCACTATTACAAATATTTACAGATATAAACGAGTGTCTAGTTTCCTCCCAGAACGACTGTGCCGCCAATGCCACGTGCACTAACTCCCTCGGTAGTTACACTTGTGCGTGTGAGCCCGGGTTTACTGGGAATGGGACGTTTTGTGAAGGTAGCTAAGTACAGTGTATCTATACATCATGCTTAAACAATGGGGTTATGCGATGAAACAGAATCCTCAAACACATTATATATATATATATATATATATATATTAAAATGCACATGTGCATGTATCAAACGAACCAAGCTTTAAGACTCATTCATTCCATCTTAAAAAATTCACGAATGCGTTGGCACAATAAAGAGCATACACAAACAAACACACAAACTATATTATTATCACTGTATTAATTTTAAAACATTCTATGAACATTTAGATGTGGACGAATGTCAAAACTCAATGCTTCACAACTGTGACATCAATGCCCAGTGCACCAATAACCAAGGAAGTTTCAGCTGCGCCTGTGTATCGGGATACACAGGAAATGGAACCACGTGTATAGGTCGGTAGTTTAGTACCATTCACAGGGACCTCTGGTATAGTATACAAAACTGAAAAAGAGGTCGATACAATACTTTTGTAACAGTCTTCCAGCGGGCCCTGCGAACAGTGCGGTAGTTTAGCGTTTTAACCTACAAGCAGCATCATGTATGTCTTTTGAGAATAATTCTTAGCGTATTATGATTGGAATACATTTTGCAGTAAGTGTGTTAATGAATAAATTTCAGACACGAATGAATGCCTGGATGCTAATCTCAACAACTGCGCACCCAATGCAGACTGTACTAACACACCGGGGAATTTCACATGTACCTGTCGTGTTGGCTTTAACGGGGACGGTACTCTCTGTACAGGTAAGCATCACAAAACCTGTTCAAAGAACACTATTTACAATATGATCTTCTTCACACGCTTTATATATATATATATATATATATANTGGATCAATAAAGATAATTTGGAAGACTGTAAGAAAATAGCTCTGGATCCGCCCCTGTTATATGCCACAAAAATTTTGATTTGATGTCCATTGATTCGAAGACCCAAGACAATAATAAAAACTTGTTATTCGGTAAATGCAGCAACTTTTTCGTCTTTTTGAAAGACTTTAATTTGTCATGGAAAGTTTGAAAATCTACAAGTATTTCATAACACATTTTTTTTAGTACATACGTTTTCCCTTTCTTGTCTACAGACATAGACGAATGTAGTGACACAGCGCTAAACGACTGCGCAGCAAACGCTACGTGCACCAATACAGTCGGCAGTTACACTTGCGCATGCGTAGAGGGATATTCTGGAAATGGCACTTATTGCGAAGGTAGGCTGCAGATTAGCAAATTAAACTCTGCTCTGTAAAGAGCATAGAGGTACATTACTTTTGTGGAAAAATGAATAAATGTGTTTTACTTTTTGATGTTTTTTTATCGATTTATATTTCATTGCGTTTATTAAGTATTTCACGTAATTATACTATTTTTTTCTTCTAACTTGATTCTTTAATTGTCTTTTTTATTGTCTCCTTTTAATTGCTATCATTCTTGGTACTTTATTTATAATTTGGTAATCCTTGTCCTCGTTTGTTAGATATAGACGAATGCACTACCACCAATGTCACTACATGTGCCGCGGAAGCGACATGCACAAATTCTCCCGGCAGCTATAGCTGCGTCTGCAATTTGGGTTACTCTGGCAACGGATCAGTTTGCACAGGTAACCTTCTTAAATAAGAACTATTGTCTAGATATTAGATAAGTTTTGATACGTGTTGAAAAATACCTGTCACTTAAAACTCGGTTTTCTGATCTCATTAATATTATCACTGGCGCATATATTGTGACGATGCCACAAGTTTACTCTGGCTGAAGGACATCGATTTTATGCTTACATACATATTTTGATTAATTTTCGTTTTAGTGAACTCTGTATTAGAATTCTGTAAACAGTGCACTCACTACCTGCCCGCATGCTCTATGACCACAAATGGATTGTAGATTAAAGTATTGCCACTGTTACAACTATTTACAGATATAAACGAGTGTCTGGTTTCCACCCAGAACGACTGTGCCGCCAATGCCACGTGTACTAACTCTCTCGGTAGTTACACTTGTGCGTGTGAGCCCGGGTTTACTGGGAATGGGACGTTTTGTGAAGGTAACTAAGTACAGTGCGATGAAACAGAATCATCAAATACATTATAAATATTAAATGCGCATGTGCATGTATCAAACGAACCAAGTTTTAAGACTCATTCATTCCATCTTAAACAATCACGCATGCGCTGGCACAATAAAGAGCATACACAAACAAACACACAAACTCTATCATTATCACTTTATTAATTTTAAAACATTCTATGAACATTTAGATGTGGACGAATGTCAAACCTCAATGCTTCACAACTGTGACATCAATGCCCAGTGCACCAATAACCAAGGAAGTTTCAGCTGCGCCTGCGTATCGGGATACACAGGAAATGGAACCACGTGTATAGGTCGGTAGTTAAGTACCATTCACAGGGGCCTCTGGTATAGTATACAAAACTGAAAAAGAGGTCGATACAATAATTTTGTAACAGTCTTCCAGCGGGCCCTGCGAACAGTGCGGTAGTTTAGCGTTTTAAACTACAAGCAGCATCATGTATATCTCTTGAGAATAATTCTTAGCGTATTATGATTGGAATACATTTTGCAGTAAGTGTGTTAATGAATAAATTTCAGACACGAATGAATGCCTGGATGCTAATCTCAACAACTGCGCACCCAATGCAGACTGTACTAACACACCGGGGAATTTCACATGTACCTGTCGTGTTGGCTTTAACGGGGACGGTACTCTCTGTACAGGTAAGCATCACAAAACCTGTTCAAAGAACACTATTTACAATATGATCTTCTTCACACGCTTCATATATATATATATATATATTTTTTTTTTCTATAGGTATTAAGATAACTGAAGGCACTTCCCTTGCCCACCCCCCAATATCTCACTCAGCTCCCCCCTCTCTCTCTTGCTCTCTCTCTCTCTCTCTTACTGACTCCATCTGTTTTCTGCTCCACTATATACTAAATCATATTGCTCTTATTAAAAACCTACATGTACTTTCCATGCAATAAAAGATGTCGACGAATGCCTGGATGCCGCAATGAACGCATGCGCAGATGGAGCCACCTGCACCAACACGGAAGGCAGTTACAGTTGTGCTTGTCAGAATGGTTTTACCGGCAATGGGTTGGCTTGTACAGGTAGTTAACCAATTGCAGCTAGCAGTGAAGCACTCCTTTCGCACAAAATACTGTTTAATTCAGTAACATAAGGATAAGAATAAACGTGTAGGACTACATATTTTATGTTATACACGCGAAGATTTGGAATATTTATTGATAATATGATACTTGTACATCATTTGCTATGGTCCTTTCTTTGAGTTGTGGTCAACTGCCAGTCGTTAAGAGAGGGCAGTTCATTCCTTTAAAGAATAACATGCATGGCTCTATAGATGTCATTTTTTTCTTTGTTAGATCTATTTTCTTAAATGCACATGTTGTCATGGGTATACGTGATACACTGTAATCGAGGTGTATTATTCTTGGTGTGTCATTCATCTCATCTCCTTCCATTTTTATTTATTTATTTTTTCCTGCCACTGATTGCTGTATAACACATGTAGTAAAGTAAATGTGTTGTTTTTATTCAGATATCGACGAATGCGATTACCCTGCGACAAACGATTGCGCAGACGATGCAACTTGTACCAACGTGCCAGGGGGTTACACTTGCGCGTGCAATTCGGGTTTTGGCGGGAACGGAACAGTCTGCTCTGGTGAGCGTGTTTTCATACACTTTTTGATAATATTTCGGGGTGGGGCTTTTAATTGAAATAAAAAGAACAGCTTTGTTATTTTGTTACACAGCTACATATATCTCCAATAGTTCTTCTTTCAAACCGAAACCAAAATACCCAGAATCTTGAAATCCCTGTGGTACAGGGGCATTCTCCAAAACGTTTCATCAGAATAAATTGTAAAAAATATTCACGTGAAGAAGAAGAAGAATGCGTGTTAAATAAGAATCGTAAAAGCAATTTTAGCTAGGCTTACATGTACCTTTTTTGATGTCGCATTTCAAACGCCGAAAATTAGTGAGTTCAGCATAGTTTCCTTATACGTAAATGAGTGCCTTGAACACATTTCCAAATCACACACTTACTTATGAGCTACGAAATGTAGATCTACAACCTGAATTTGAATCGTTGACTTGCAAATACCAAGATTAGAATTTAGTTTTAAAAAAGATGGGTCCTGTGGCACCGTCATATGATAACGTTTTGATTTATATTTAAGATATTGACGAGTGTCAGGACCCAAACCTCAATGCATGCAACGGTAGAGCATGTAACAATACGGCGGGGAGTTATGTCTGTAGTTGCCCAGATGGCTTTACGTGGAGTGGAACACTGTGTGAGGGTAAGAAAACGGCTACAGTTACAATATGTTACAAGAATGGTGTTCTCTTCATAGTTGAAATTTTATAGAACACAAGTTTTTACACGTGCAAAGAGAAGCATTAATTTATTTATGCGAATTATATCATAACAAAATTTTGGAAAATAAGTAGTTGTATTAACAGAATTAACTGTATACATGTTTTTCAGATGCTGTTAAATTTGTAATAAATGAAATTAATGTTTTTTTTTCAAAAATCAGAATTATTTAGCTAGGATTAATGCATCTTTATTCTATATCATTGTATTGCCTAAAGTATGTTCATGCATGTCCCCTCAGAAATGGTACTTATCATATACAAGTATTTATACGACATAGATTTCTACATGAAATACGAGATGTTAATTTGAAGAATGCTTTTTAAATCCAGCTCAGTGCCGTCTTCAACCCCCCCTCCCCTGTCCCCTCCCCCACGGACAAGTTCTTCCAGAGATTTTTCGTAGAGGAATAAAGAGAGGCGCAAAACCCTATCCAATACCCGTAATCTCTCAGTGTATTCCTGTATTGTCCTTAACAGATATCAACGAGTGCCAAGACCTGCTCCTTAATGACTGCGAGGACTACGAGTATACTGACTGTATGAATACCAATGGTAGCTTTACCTGTGTGTGCCAGGAAGGGACGGTGGAAGGCAATAGCACGGGGAACACCACACAATGTATAAGTGAGTGCAAGTTCTTGAAAGTACACATAATGTAGGCGAATATTGGCAAATGATAAACCATTTCATTAATTGTGATCAGCTTCGCAAATTGTGTTCCCTTTCGGATCGCAGTTTTCTTTGCATTTCTAAACAGTACTTAAAGAGACTAAACGAAATCTCTTCCGACATTTGTACATATTGTAGAAACTAAACGAGTCCAGCGTAATATGCCTGTTATTGATGGGTCACAAATATCCATCGCAACAAACAAGTTGCGTTAATTGATATTTTTATATTGCAATAGATTGGTTACCATGTTTACATTTCTAGATTTAATGATTTCGTCGGTATGGAGACTTTTTGTTATCACTGAATTTAACTCTTAGTGTCGCACTAAAAAGACAGTAAAACAATCCAAACCCTTTAATTTTGCGTTTCTGTTCCTAATACAGAGGTAACCGCGTGGCCGCCACCAAGAATGCACGAAGCACAATGGGTTATCGCTGTCGCAATCGGTGTTTACATGGCAGTCGTGTTGCTACTGGCAGTGATCGTATCCGCCTTTCTAAATACGAAAAAACAGAAACGGAAGAACCACAATCTCCGACATTACAGCCACTCCAATCAGGCCTTCGATGGTCATGTCTACTGACCGTGGTCAGTTACCTTCACGGACAGTACTTTGTACTAGAAAAAAACCGTGGACAAACTGAAATATGTTGCAAATGATTCACTGTTTTCTCTTTCCACCAAGAAGGAATAATTCATATACCTTATGTAATAGTGTATATTGAAACATAGATACATTATATTATTTATTATTAGTGCATTTCCGTATCATTGTACTGTCGTGATGTGCAAGGGTGCATTATCCTCAAGTTAATGACCACTGTAGATGTGCATAGACTGTTGCAGTTGTTGTAATTCTCATTTAACATATGAAATGGGAAAAGATGTACTAAACGCTGTGTATCTCTAAGTGTAGTGGTCTGACTGTACACACTCAGTATAAAAAGATTTATGATGCTTTTTTTAAAAATTAAGCTATATCATATGACACTTTACACTATAGATGTCCTAAAAACTATAACTACAGTATCTGTTAGGGTGGAAATCTGACTGTACATACTCAGGTTAAAAAGATTAATGACTGCTTATAGAAATCAAACTGATTTATATAACTCCTTTCACTAAGATTTATTTATTTGTATTTTCAGATTTAAGATATGAATAAACCATAAATAATTTTTTTTACTTATTTATTTTGGTAGCAGTAACCAAGTTAGTTTTACAAACTCAACAACTAAAGACTTGTTTAACAGTTTTACAATTGGCGAATCTTGACAGCACAGTATACACACCTGTTTTTAACGATCAATTTGATTATAAATTCTTACAAAAATTATGAAATACGAAAGTAAGAGATTTTCTGTAGTATGTTAGCAAATGCATTTTGACAGCCTAGACACCAACTATATACAAATGTCATTAGATAGCAAATTTATTATATAAATCTTCCTTTGGGCTATTCCGCTCTTGCAACGACCACATCGTGTACCGTTTTTTTTTTTTTCTTTTTTTTTCAGATAAATCAATGACTATATTGTAGATTAGACTACCTCATCAGTCGTTGATAACAAAAAGTTTAAAGTAATTTTTGATCTTCACTGTTGACAGTTCGGAAAAAAAGTTAATTAGCTTGGACGCAGCTGAAGCGAGCATTCGCCAGCATAATTATATGAAGATGTTCAAATAAAACTATGTGTATGAAAAACACGGAAGATATCCTTAACTGGCCAATACCAATATAACTTGTGTATTGTCTTCGGGTAGATATTCACACATAAAAGTAAATGGTTTCATCAAGGCTAAAGTATGATGAAAAAAGGTCATCACAAAAGCACCATTTCAAATATAGCATGCCGTAGACATTTAGTCCTCCTGGCCTTGGGTAGAATACAGAAAATTAGTCATTATACGAGTAGTCTATGAACAAGAGGTGTATTATCTGTTAAACAGAGTCGGATAGATGTGCGCAGACCGATACTTTCATTGGGAATGGGCCCTAAGGAAGTACAAATGGACAGTTTTCCTATTCAAAGAGATACTGGGGCAGTAAAAATGTAAAAAAATTAATAATAATTCTATTGCTAGTGCTCTTTTGTTTACGTCTCAGTCATAGTCTGTCTTTCCTCATAGATTGATATTTAGTGTAGTTAAAACTATTGTCAACGGAGACACTGTGCGAAGATAGAAACTGCTGTTCTTCAAGTATAAAACATATCGTATATCATATACGTGCAATCACCTAAAATTATTAAAGACAAAGTTTGAAAACGTCAGCAGAATTTTTATTCAAATATCTAGTTCACATCAGTTTATTTGATCTGGCTGTCCTGCCTTGAGCAAAACAGACTGCAGCTGGGAGCGGGTGGCACTGCAGAGGATAACATATGGAGTGTTTTATCATTGTTTTAGCAATAAAACCCACAGTTCACATACACAGCTTTTGTAATATAAAACTGAACTCTGATCTATGTCATATATAGAATTTATGAGCTCGTTGCAATGAGCACTGAACAATTATTAAGCATCCATGCAAGATAAACAATTTTAACAGCTTTGTACGGGAACGCCGGGAAAAGAACACTGAGTAAGTTAAGAATGCTTTAACTATGCAACTGGCAATGTAACATACGCGAAGAGTAGTCTGACTTTACGCTGTTGTGAGTTCAGATGATTGTTTTTAATCTAGCTGATGGGCAAATTCACCAAATGCAACCGGGCGGATTCATCACATCGATAGGGGGCGCACTATTCAAAACAGGTCGACGTCAAACAGTCGCCGCTGCCGGGAACGTTTCATAATGGTGTCAGGGAGATGCTTGTGCTTAAAAATCACGGTACTTGTTTCTTTATTCTCCATAAACTATGTCGCATTTGATATTCTTAAATCAATTATAGATGACAACTACGCCATTCGCAGATTCCATCCATACTTGTTTAATACAACTGTTACCAATGATTTTATGGTTGACAGAATTGACCGATTCAGTATCGATTGGAATGGATCTCAGACTCTAACGTTCGTAAAATTAGGTAGGATGGCCAATCTGATGTTTGAATATGCAGCCGTATTAGGCATTGCGCAAAAGAACGGTTTATCTCCGAGAGCAGCGAAGATCTTATATCCGAGGGATTGCTACTTGATCAGTGCTGGATACGAAAATGAGCCAACAGACCGGAAGCGGAAAGTGTACCAACCTAATTACCTAAGCTTTTCTCCCGAGGCATTCCATCTGGAAAAGGGTGTTAATCTGTTAAATAGTAACCTTCAGTCCTGGAAATATTTCGGACATGTGGATGATATCGTTCGCAAGGAGTTCACGTTTTTCAAGATTCACGACACATATGCCCGTGACTTTCTACACACGGTCGGGGACTCGCTGAAGGGGGACATTTTCGTCTCCATCCACGTTCGGCGCACCGACTTCATGGACTACCCAGATCTCATTAACGTGGCAACGGTGGACTATTTTAACCGGGCAATGAATCTATTCAGAGAAAAATACTTCTCGGTGAAGTTCGTGGTCGCTAGCGATGACAAACCCTGGTCCAGGGCCAACTTGACAAGTGACAGGGGCGACATCTATTTCACCGACGATAACGCCACCAAGTGCCAGGACATTGCCGTGTTGTCGCACTGTAATCACTCTATCCTGTCCGCGGGGAGCACCTTCGGCTGGTTTGGCGCCTACCGTTCTCTTGGGCATGCCATCTACTACAAGGGCTGGTTAAGGCACGGAGGTTGGTACAACCTGGAGCTGGTGGAGGAGGACCACTACCTGCCCTGGTGGACTGATATCCCGGGGTGATGTTATCCTGGATGAAGACTGCTGGACTGATATCCCAAGATGATGATAAAGTGGACGCGTTAAAATGGCTTTTTCTCTTTTGTACTTTGGTAGGCGGAAAACTGACACTATTACATGTGATACAATAAACCAACCATAGAATTTGGTAAATGGGGGGAAATTATGTTTTTTCCTTGGGTTACCGTTCGTGTTGAGCTACTACATGTAGTACATGTATTTTGCATTTTTATTTTACCAAGATGATATTTGCTGGTATTTCAAGATTGATGTAAAATATTCTGTTTGTTCATTTAAATTATGAATTTACGAGCTTTGAAAGGACACCATGTGACAAACTCTTTATTGGAAACAAAGGAATGATTAGGTATTGATTTCCAAATGTTGCAGAGTTTATGAATAAAATACTGAAATAACTGCAGTGAGAAATAACAACAATGCCCCTTGACCCTGTACAAAGGAATATACGTGAAGTTACTTTTTATAAGCTTAATCATTTCCCTTCGAGACCGATTTCAAGGCCACCACGTTATCCACTACGTTGTAAATTTACCTCAACCAGCAACCTTTTTTTTTTCTCACCAAAACCAAAAGATAATACCGGAAAGTGTTTCTATTAAAAACCTTGTGTTGCCTATACTGTATATGCTAATGCCTACATTCAAATCCAGACACTTGCCTAACGTTTTGGAGTTTGGGTGTCGAATATTTTGACAAGTTCATAAACGTCAAAAATAGCATGAAAGTGTATTTCATTCAGAACAACTGAGCCACTCTCTGCACCAAATTCGTTTATATGATTTAATATGCGCTACTTGATGGGTGTCAGAATTCCATTAAAGTCAAGGAATGCTGATGCAATGTTGGACCATAGGGTTTGATATTAACGAAGCTCAAGGTACATTCCAAACCCGCAAAAAGATGCCTTTCTCCCAAAGTTGGTGAAAGCAAGTGGGTGCGATACAAACAGATGCCAATTGACATGTGTATTCTGTATGTACAAAGAGTGCGTAGTGCCCAAACACGTCATAAATATTGTAGAAATGGTACTTTCTAGAACAGTACATAAAAATAAATAGAATAAATATACTTATAGCATAAAACTTAAGAGCACGAGTTTTCCATTAGGCGTATGTTATATCGTGTGAAAAAAGAACGCGTGTAAAAAGAATGCATGTTTCAGGGAAAAAACGATTTTTTCTAGTTTTTATAACTGGTATCTCAAATTGTGGCACTTAACTACCCTTTTTTGTGAACATATATAGAGTAAAAGTTTTAGTTGATTTAATTGGGTTTTGACTACGAATACTTGTTTCAATTTTCAATTTAAATTATACTGAAATATATGTAAAGGCCTTTCATGGTGGGCAAAATAGAATCGCTTTTTGTTACAATCTACGTGGTCTCACTTTCAATGATCTCGCTCCAACAAATAATTAAATAATCGATATATTGTAACTACTTTAGATACATAATGTCCCATGTTTATTCTTGTACTTTCTTTTGGTATAATTGAACAAACGTTATTAGTAAGGGTCACTCTAACAAGGGGTGCTAAGCAGCCTGTATAAGTCCCAGGTCTTTTAATAAATGATTCTGAACAACCCACGCGTTTCAGCTTCACCTCAAAGTCCAGCCAGGTACATCACCGATCAAAAGCCATGACGATTTCACTACATCGGAGATACTCTACGCGTGTACCTTTCAGAGTCCGCGAAGTCATTGGCATAAGCCAAAGCACCACCAAGTTTTTTCTCCTCAGGTCCATCAAAGGGCCTGGCCTCGTTCTGGTGCACGGAAGGATGGTCGCCATTGACATGAGGCCGCGGGATCTTCAAGCTCCGTGATCGCTCTGAAGGGTGTTGTTGGACGTGAAGTTCATCGACGCTCAGGCTCAGGGGCCGTCCCATGAAGTCATGGCGTCCAACGTAGCGGTGTTCGCTGGGGTCGAACGGCTCGGAGACGGGATAGTCCACAGAGGGCGGGGAATGGGGGTGGCCATCGTAAAGAGATGTTTCGGCGTAGTGGCTCGAACGCATGTGGCCCGCGGCGTAACGCATTCGTTCCCCTGTGTAGTTTGCGTAAGGGTTTTCGCTAGCTCGCCGTCCGGGGACGCTTCTTGTCGTACCGTAGTAAGGGTTTTGTTGAACCAGTCCGTAGTCCGACCTCTGCGTGATGTCAGACTTATGGCGCTCGATTCTACGAACGCCGCCCTCGTCGCTTCGCTTTGTCACGGAGCCTGGCGGTGAAATCGCCTTCCAAAAGGCGTCGGTTTTGGCGGTCTGAAGGGTGTAATCTTTCATCCACGTCGACGGATCGGTTGGATTGGTCACCGAGGACTTGCTTTTCTTTTTCTTTTTTTGCTGGCGGCGGCGATGGCAGAAAAAGACCACAACGACGCCAATGGCGATCAGAAACACGGCAAGACAGCCCAGCAAAATAATGATGGTGGTCTCCGTCATTTCTAGTGAACCTGCCTTCTTGGGTTCATTGGCCGTTTCACCTTTCTCTGCAATGTTTGTATGTTAATTTTATTAAGAGTCGGTATCCTTTACTTTCTTATTGACTATATCTACTTTTTTAAACATAACTTCAGTTTTTGCTTTTACTTTGAATTACTGTGAATCATTATGATTGGCCATGCCTTTAATTGCGTGACTAACTTTCACCCCTTAAATTCTAAAAAGCGTTCCTTCATGCGATTGCTCTGATGTCTGTTAGTTTCCATTAAATAAGGACTTCCGTGGCAGTGCGTGCTTAAAACTGCCATTTAAAATTCTTTATCTCTCTACAATTTACAGTAGTTTCTTTTTTCATCAAAACTTAATCTTGCTAAGGCTTAATATTTTATCTTCAAAACGAGACGCCAATGGGGAAGCTGCTCTTACTTACCGTTGGTATCGCCGTCTATATTAAAAATGTCCCACAGATTTTCGATTGTTGTTGTGGTCATTCCGGGTACAGTTGTGGTGGTGGTGGTCGTCGTGACGGCAAGGTCTGGATCTTTGTCTGAGATTAATTTATAATATAATGACAATTAAAAAGGAGAAATTTGCAAGTTACATGTACTCTAAACGGACTCCCAGTCATTATAGGCAATCGAAAGCAAGGATCCACGAATATAATATAATATTTTAAAGTACATTTGAATGTGGTATCAAAAAAGCCATCGTTCCACTACTACCATAACCAAAAGTTTTATTAAGAAGGGCTGACCTAAAGGAGTTACTCAGCGTGTTTATGTCAGATATAAGTTAAAATCCAGGCTATTTGAAGGAGGCAAAAAATTATTACATTTACTTTTGGGACACTCAGTGCGTTTAAGAAGACCATCCTCACCTAAACAGATGCCTTTCTTGGCATGGCTGCAACACGAGTCCACGGTGCGGGCGGTGCGATTGTAGTCCAGTTCTTTGTGGATCCTGAAAAAGGTGGATGAAATGGACTTTACTGTGAGTTGCCACACTGGCCTTCTTTCCAAAATAAAGTTACCTGCATGGACCGTAATACAGATTGACATATTTCATAGATTATGACACAACTGTGGATAAGGCATGTACTGGTATCACAGTTATGATAACAAAATAAATAAATAAATAAATAAATAAATAATCTTCTTGAGGAGTTAGTATGAACTGTATGGAGGTAAAAAACAACAATTACCATACACTATGTACTAAAACATTGTATTGCGCATTGATAATAAAATGCACGGCTGGGTTCACAATTACTGTGAATATGCCCCCTGTATGCCCCTACCTGCATGTCGAGTCTGTGTAGTTGTAGGTGAAGGCAGCACATTCGCCAATCTTAATGCACTCTTCCCTGCAGCTGAACTCCGTCTGATTGGCCACGAGATCGCCGCCCGGGTGGGTTATGTCTAGATGGGTCTGGAAACAGGCGGCTGAAATTGGAATAGTTAGGAAATAAGCGGAGAGATGAAAAATGTGTATGTTAGCCATAGTTTTTATTAATCAATTAATTAGTTAAAAATAAATGTATTATTTTTAAGTGGAATCAAACTTTCTGCAAAACTTTAATACTTTTATTTCTCATCCGATTATATTTTCTAAAAAAATTCTCGAAAGAAAATGATTGGCGTGGCACTTTTCATTCTGTACGTACATTCGCATTCTTCAACCTTCTTATAGTGAGTGCAGCATGGGTTGGTCGTGTGCATGTATGGGTCCGTTCTACTGTGAAGAAAGCACACATTTTGAAAAGAGTCAAAGTCACTTGCCGCGCAAGCGCTCTTTCTCATACATTCCGCCTTGCATTGCGCAGCCGTGAACGTTCCAATCTGCTTGAGTCCGTTTAACTGGGAGCTGCCGAAGTAAGTTCGCATGGCTTGTACCCGTCTTGTACATGCTGCAAATAAAATGGGGCAGATTGAATTAATTGGCTGAATTAATGTTGGACATAACGCCAGACGCTCATGTAACAGAATCAAGCAGAAAAAAAACATACAAACGCTCACATATTAACTAGATCCATTTAGAACTTTGCTAGAGACGAAACTCTAGAAAGAATTTGAAAATGTTGTCAAAGCAGTAGGGTGCAATACCATTTTATTTATCTGAAGACCTGTAATACATGCCTTTTTTTTTTTGGAAATACATGTAATTTTGCCCATTTAGAAAATTTGTGAAATAAATGATGTATTACATTTCTGCCACCGAAAAATAGCTCTTACTTTTAGGTAACTGTGTCGTTGATACTCCCTTTTCGCTCTTAAATCTTTCACGAATATCTTCTGGCAGTTCCACTGAATAAAAATACAGAGAGAATAAATCGGAGAAGTGTAGTTAAGTGATAGACAAACTAACCCTATGTGAAATAGAAACACGTTTATGCTTACCGGTACTGTTCTTTTTTAATATAGAGAACACTTTTATAAAGTATCATGTACTGATATATGTAAAATGAACATTTAATATATATTTTATAAGATTTTATCAATGTGCGTTTGACATTTGGGAAATAATTAATTAGTAATTAGATGATAATTTTGCGGCAGTGAAATAAAAATAGGTTGAAATACATTAAGATTAGGGGCTCTACTTCAAACAATAAATGAAAAAAGGGACGAATTGCTGAGAAGAACCCACGTTTGCACTTCGTCTTCTTGAAATGCTGACAGCACTTGTCCCTCGTGTGACTAGTTTCAGACGACCAGAGGTGGAGCGTGCACTCTTTGGTTACCCTGTTAAAATCCATCGCCTTACAGTCGGCCTGCAGCAGGCACACGGCCTGACACTCCATCTTGGACAGACTTTTCACCTGGTAGCCGCCATTTTGTTTGGCGTCATAGTACTGCTGTAGGCAGTCAACTTAAATGAACACATACAGTTTATTTTATTACTTTATGCAACACAATAGACTTATTTCTAATATAGGTTTGATCTGGTTTAATATTTACTTTAATCAAGGCAGAATCAGGGCAGGGCAAAGAATTAAGTCACGTGCCTCTCCCTAAGCCCTTTTTAGTCTTCTCTTGTCCGGAAACAGAATTATCGAGGAAAAAGAACCAAAAACAAGCCATTCCCACCCCTGGCCCTACACCTAGGCCTACATGTTCATGCATCTTTCACATTAAAAAATAGTCCGCTGTTTTATATTTTGCATATTATCTCTGAGTAATTAAGTAATGTGTTTTCTGAAAACATCTTAAAATAATATTTTGAAGGCAGTGCTACGTACTTTGTTCGCTATCTTCTGTGGTATCAGTTGGGACTACTTTTGTCGTAGTAAATACATCAGCGTCCTTTGGTTTGCTCTTGCCTCTCTCACTATGCAGAGGAGTACGGGTGGCAGGTGTCGTCTGTTTTGATATCTCATTTGAAGCAGTTTCCATTCTGTCGATGTCGTCCGTTTCTTCTGTCGTTGTCATTTTAGCGACTGAAACATCCGTGGTGGGTTTAATTGTGTTCAAATAAAAAGTTGTAGGAGATGTAAAAGGGATTTCTGTGACCGATGTTTCATTTTGTCCGAACATTTTTTCATATTCATCTGATCTAGACCTGTCGGGATTTTTCGTAAAGGCTGTTCCGTTTGGAGCATTCCGCATTTCGGTAACATCTCCGCTATTGTTTACCCCGGAAGTCACTTTACTATCACTTCCTTCCTGTTGAGACAGACAGGGGACTTTCCGGAAGTGATAACAACACGTGTCATTCTTCACATCCTCTGCGTTTCTAAGCGCGTTGTACTTTTCACATGTTTGAGTTACCCTGTGATAGCTCACTGCTGCACAGTTGACGTCTCTGAGACAGAAGTCTTGGCATTCTTCCAAAGATCCGTGGGTACCGATCACTGGGACCCCGCCCTCTTGTTTTGCATAATTGCGCCTCTCCAGACATACTGAAAAGTGCACAATAATATCATTTTGACCCGATGAAGTGGATTCTATTTGAAGTTGAAAAATAATAGGTCCATGCTGTGTGAATTTCATTGGAAAAAATGGTGCGTTTGTAATGCTTTTCATTACCAGATTACCTATTTTAACAGACTTAACTTTTTTTCATGACACATGAATATGCACCTTTCTAGCACACCAGGCAGGTAAGTCTTTTTTCTATCATACTAAACAAAATTTATTTGGATACATATTCCAATTTGACAGATGGCAGGGAATACACACTTGTTCATTCCCTGCTATTTTTTTTATTCAAAAAGAAATTGACCGGGCTAAATTCTGAGTTAACTAAATGAATTATGAAGACGACGTTTAACAGGTGATCACTTAATTGGCCATTGATAACCTTTGCATAAACACAACAATGAAGATTTATGTTGTGTAAAAAAAAAGCTCGAAAAGATTTATTTAACCCTTCACAGCTAAAACAAACGATGGCTCTCCGTAACGATTGGCGACCGCCTCCATGAGCGTATCGCTTCCATACAACAGGGGTAGCGTGAAACGAGTTTTTGATTCTTCAGTAAATTTTTTCTTCATAGGTAATGATTTTAAAAATTCAACAACCTTACCTTGTGGATCCGAGGCCAATACAGTTGCTATACAAGAAATAAGAACCCAGATAAACATCCCGCACACTGGCTGCATCAAATTCCAAGAACTCCCTTCACAGCCACAGTAATTTCACCGCCATATGTGAGAGAGAAAGGTAAAAAATTGAGAGCGGCACCCGACTCTTTAGAACGATAAAACTGCCACGCTGTAGGCGCTACTGTACCGGTAGTGTGTGATAGCAGTGTCTCCCCCCAGGCCATCGAGCTATATTAACTATACACACACACACACACATTTCAACATTTCAGAAATTCAGCAGATTACCGTTCTTTCCTTGAAACCCACATAACCATATCGTGCGCACATATGAAGAAAAGAGCACATGCTCACACACACACACACACACAAAGAAAGAAAAAATTATAAAAGCATTATACAATAACAAATAAAAAATACGATTGCACCGGTAATATCAATGTGCTTAACTTATCTCGCTTGCTTGGATAAAAATGCCATGGTTGAAATACAGTGTGCCGAACATGACGATTGTTGCCAAGAAAAAGGGTGATATAGCGCACTGGTCGGGTGTCTTTGGACACTTTCTAAACACAAGTTCATGTGGCCCACAGCATTCTGAATGAAAAAGGTGCTATAATAACATAGTAAGATAAAGTAAAGCCTAGATGACATTTGAAATGCGATGCTCGTAATACTCTTTACTTACAGCGTCTGAGCGGAGTCGTACGGATTGAAAGCCATGTAATGTTAGCATGCGCGGCGTAGCAAGTACCTCCTTGCGATTAAAAGAAAATCGTACGGACAATTTCATCGCACGGCGCCCGTGTAAATGTAATCTAGGCTTAACATGTACGCAGTAGCGTGATTTATCTTTCTAACTACTATGCAGCGTAACTGTGCACTATGTTTCATTTTAACTGTCACAGAACTATACAGTGAGTTCTACATTTGACACCCCCACATTGTACTTCATTATGAAAACGCGTCGAGGCGTTTAGAATGCCAAATAAAGTCGCTTATTAGAACATCGATCTTTTTATTGAAATCGGAAAGGCTAAACTGATCTTTAGAAAGATTTGTTCTAGAGAATATCTTTTTCATTGACACATTTCTGTTAGGAAAATGGCTGTTCATTCAAGTCGCTCGCAAATGACACCCTGAAAACCTACCCTCTATCATGGCCGCAGATTAATTACGTGCTCTTCTCTCCAGCGCTCACAGTAGAGCAGTAGAGAATCGTGTCATGAACGAGCCAGAGACAAATCTGTGAACATGTAGTGAAACATCCCATCTGTGACCCTGGAAGAGGGTACAGAAAACCAACGTTTTGTATTGAAGATCTGTGCGTGTGATTTGGTACAAAAATCACTTTCAATCATTCTTATGCTGACAGTTGTAACTTTATTGATTTATATGTATTTTTTTTACTATAATAATATAGAAAGCTTATATTCATGTTAGTTTATATCATACATAAATACACTCACAGAACAAAAGACAACGGAAATGGAGTCATCATAAAATACATCTATACTCTGCCCGAGGCAATGAAACCGTTACTCTCAGCAGACATTAACAGAGGTCACAAAAAGGGACCACTTCCTCCGGTGCCTCTGGGCCTGAGCAGTATTAATACGGTGAGATTCAATATAAAATTTGATGATTGCATTGTCTATTTGTATTTGTTGATGAACCGAAATGTTTATTATTATTATTATTATTATTATTATTAATTAGTCAATTGTCGGTTTTATGTTGTGAATGGTGAAACTGATCTAAATTAAAAAATGCATTTAAAGTGGATCGAACAATAGAAAAACATAATGCGGGTGTCCATTTGATTGTTCAGGTTCAGTAATTACCGAAAAAATTATATGTACAAGTAGTTCGACAGCCTATCTCTCTCTCTCTTTTTCTCTCTTTCTCTCTCTGTCCTAGTGCAATTACTTCCCAGTGCACAAAACCTGGCTGTGGATTTTGTTCTCAGCAAACACAATTTGGCAGATCTATGCAATCATCACTACCGGCTGGGCTTGCACCTTAAATACAACAGGCCTTTTGCAGTTAGACGTCTGGATGTCGACTCCTTTTTTTTTCTGAAGAGCTTACTCTCCAGAAAGCAAAAGAATGCTGGAGGGCAAGCTCTTCAGTAAAAAAAAGACATCTAGTGATCTAGCTGCAAAGGCTCACTTGTGACTACTAAATAGAGACTCAGCTATTCATGGCTTTCAAAGGTTATTAATTTCGATTTTGTCTGTGACTTATGTACCGAGTCGAGACATGATTTCTCCACGTAATACTAGTGGAAAACAAAGAAATGCATTAACTCACTTTATATCATAAAAAGAAAAAATAAAAGTTGAATGATTACGTGTATTAAGAGATGCAAATAATTTGAATAAATAAATAAATACTAAAATCTACGCTTAAATCTACCTTTGTATACAGATTAATACTGACATGGTAACATCTGCATAATACTGTATAAACACATTGCTGTGTCTTGTTTAAATTCTTAAGAATAGTTTATAATAAATATGGTTAAATATAACGATAAATACACTAATTTTGGCACTCGATGAAGTTACATTTGAAACCGAGACAGACATTCTGATAAAACTATGCAACAATAAAAACCAGTACACTACAATAACATGATTTTGGTTAGACTGAAACAAATATGTGACTCGTCATATATTAAGTTGACAGAGCAAAACAACCTCGGTGATATTTCTACTTTAAAAAAACTCTTCCTAGCGAATTCAAAACGAAGTATCTGCCAGCATTTATACTTAATAATTTTCTAAATTAAACAATAAATAATTGACAATCTAATGATATACCAAGCTCTTAATGCCGTTTAAAATATTAATATCTACCAGCATGAATATGATAGATATAGACAGCTGTTAGCAACATTACGGCGAAATGTTGACATAATTTTATATCAGTTAAACACAGTGACGATTTGAAATGTGCTTTTCCCTCTGCAACCATAAGTCGACTTTGAGGCCAGTTTTTCCGCTGTTGCTGCCATCGATAACATGCAAAAACAGCACCATTTCCATTTCTACCGTTTCTGAATTATCTATCGCGCCACCTGATAATGATACAATAAGTGTTCATACTTACTACACTGTACCTTTACTGCTGCCTGGTGTGTTATTAACAAAGCTGTTGAATCTTCTATCACATCCAGCAATGCTGCGACAACCATCGCTACCACAACCATCATTGTTACAGTTTCTTCTGGTACAGCTACTGCAACTTCAATTGACGCCAGACCTACCGCAACAATAACTACTACTACTACTACTACTTCTACTTATTTTTCATTTTAATCTGCCAGCTGTTGAAATAACCAGAGCAATAATTTACAACATACACCTCTGAGACAAACATACCAATCACTTTTGGTGATTATATGATAAAATTATGGCTGGATGTAGAAATAATAATAATAATAATAATAATAATAATAATAATAATAATAACACAGCACTCCCCCTGCGTAGGTTAGCTTGGTAAATAAACTATACCAGTGTATTTGATTAGCATTAAAAATTAAACTCTAAATGAATTAATTTTAAAAAAAATTCACGTGGCATTTAAATTCACCCGTGATGTTCAATCATGCAGTCCCCGAACTGTTCATTCAGTAAATAGTCTGGCGTACTGAGAACTTCTTGCATAAATGTGATATACTCAACAGTCAATTTAAGGGTCTGTATTCGAGACATTTTGTTCTCGTAGGGGAAGCTAGGCACGTGAAGGCGAAGCTGATCGAAGGCAGAGTTAAGGTGAACCATTCGCCGTCTTTCACGCATGTTGGCTTGAAGTCTTTGCGGGCGAGTAATGCGCCTCTTCCGCTTGCTACTTCCTCCGCAAGATTGTTGGTTCAGCCACTCCACGACACTATCATAATTCTTCGATCCGTCCCCCGAAATCTCCCCCGGGGTGGGATACGTGTCTGCACTGGGGAGGTTAGAAGCCTCTTCGCCAACCTTTGAAGATAACGCAGGTGGTTCTTCTGATGACTGAAAGTCCAGTAGCTGAAACGATCTCTCGGGAGAATGAACTCCGTCGCCTCTCGAGCAGGGGCTCAGGGAGTTGCTACTTGGAGAGTACACGAAGCGTCCGAATTCTTGCAAAGAGGCCTGAGTCTGAGCGCACGCGGAGTCGCTGAAATCTGACCAATACGTGGCGCTGCAATCGTAACTATCAAGAAGAGCGCTTAAACTGTCTTTGGCGCCAAAATCTTCCAAACTGAAATGGCCTTGACCTTGAGGACGAATGTCGTTATTAGACAACATACTGTTTGGTTCTCACTGTGGTCACACTAGGAGAGTGGTTAACTCAGTGTTAACCCTGTAAATCGCGATCGGTTTGGTATTTGCTGACTTTTGTGTACAAAAATCTGTAAAGAAAATATTTATCCGTCTTAAAAATATGTGCTTATACCTTTAAAACTGAATCAAGTTTAGATACAACAATGCTATTGGGCAATAAGGCTTAGTTGCTAAAGTCATTGCTTACTGTAAAACGTGTCGTATTTATCGAATATAAATTGTTTTAGGATTGTTTATATAAAATATTAGTGCATATTATGAAACAGCCAGCGTTCGCTCCATACAGCACGTTTTATATATTTAATTATTCAGAGGAAACGTCACTTTGTGATATAACTTATTATCTTCTTTGTAATATGTTGTCATTGAGAGGAAATGTTGGATTGAATGATTTATAATAAATACAGGTACATTCTTAACAAGACATGATAGCCAGCAATTTGGATTAATTCACAAATATAGTCAAATCTGCTAGCAATGCAAATAAAAAAAATCATCACAGCTATTATGGTTCAACACACAAAAAATGTTCATGTTCACCACAAACTGCTAAAAGCTTAAAGTCAAGGTGCATTTTACCGATCAATCTTTATAGGACAGGCAAAAAAGAAATGCCAGCATTAAAATTTAAGTTACACACTATCTTTCCCATTGTGAGCTAAGTGGTTTAATTTTCGTTTATAAATACTCTTCTTTAGAGGTTTTGAATCAATGAAGTCACCCCTTCGCATTTACCCTCTACAGTTCCCCATAAATACATCCGCAACTCTACGTTATTCGTGTTGGCATGTTCTTCATTGTCATCCCAAGCACATCGTTTATCGAGCTTGGTTTTTCTACTGTCTTTTTTTCCTACCACAGTATTGGTATACTTTTGAAATGTCATAATCAATGTTCCATTTACCCATACTAATTTTACTTACCGGTAATAAACGTCGTGTTTTCTTGGACGGGAAGCACAACTGTTTAACTTCTGATGAATACGCCGTGCTAACAGGTATACTTTGTAGAGCTTCGCCGGCTCACGGATCACTCCTCGTGTCCACGCGATGCACTCATTTCATTAAACGCTCTGTATCTTCTAAAATTACGTCTTATCTCTGAGCCTTAATCAAGTCAACTGCGCTTTATATACCGTGTGTCATGGTTCATTACGCCGTGTCACCTTCGGTGCCCTAATCGTTCAACCCCGTTAACTTGTTGCACGCGCTAGGCCCATTTAAACGTCACGGGCCACGAGCAGCTGTCCCGGTGACAGACAGGTAACGGCTTCTTTACGGTCAACTTTAAGCGGTCATTATGTGGGGCTTGGAGCTGGAGGCGAGTTGGGGTGTTAAAGAAAGACCTTAAAAAAATTGCTACATGGTGAACCTCCGGTCATAAATGTGACGATTAAAAATGGACAAGATCGGGTGATCAGTCTTGGCATTTCGGTAATGCGCCTTGACTTTTGCTGGACAAGGCGCTGACCCCCTAAACCAATATTTCTATATTCTGATGAATGGTGATCCGCAAGAGCGTACAGACATATTCTGATTTCGTTATGGGGAAACTCAGTTTCTTAGCACCGGGTTTTTGCAATGTGATATTGCTTAAGTCTAGAAATACGACCATGCCAGCCAGTTTTTGTTCAATAAAACCAACTGCATTCCACTCCACATCCAACTGCAGCCGAAATAAAAAGAGATCTTAAAATGACGATAGATCAAATATATTATCCAATTTTTTTATTTTAAAAATTTAGACTTTTTAAAATAACCATGGAAAAGGCGTTTGAATTAGAAAAAAACTTTCGAATCGGGTATCGCTCAGGAAGTAACTGTACTTTCCATTACAGTGGCCACACCTCCGTCGCGTGCTCTACCTGTCAATCATTTTGTACCACCTCTTTCCTCCTCCGCCATGTGGAGACCTAGATCACACTTGTTAACAACCGTGTTTCTCTGAAGCATAAAAGTCTGTACATTAAAAATGATTAAATTCCGCACGTGTTCGAAATTACTTTAAATGAAGCGCCCTGGGCGATGACAGCTTTCCCGTTGATGTAGTTGAATTTTCAAGATATCTGTTGTGATTCCCTATAGTATTAATGTATGGACATGGCGATTCGATTGAAGAAACATTTTTCTTGCAGACGGGTTTGAAAAAAATCTTTAATTTCACAACTCGAAACCTTCATTCCAAACACACATTGAATAATCTGGTGGGTTTTTTTTTAGATACTGATCATTTCAAGTCATTGTGCGGAAATTATTTTATAATGCTTTCCTACTGTAGATTCTCTATTTATTTATTTATTTATTTATTTATTATTATTATTATTTTTTTTTTTTTGAATGAAGTTTACTTAATCATTCATCATGATTCTTAGGCATTTCTATGATTTTCGCAAAACTGAGATCGAAATGATAAATATCCGATGTTCTTATGGCGTTCTTATGATGATTTCATTCCTATGATGATCATCATTCCTTTTAGAAAAAGGTCTAAACAGTTATTTTTGCCAATAATTGAGTGCACTGTATTGTTTTGACTTAGAAATACCATAGGTAGCTGATGTATGACAGACAGAAAACAAAAGGAAGGGAACGTTTATCTATCAATTTTATTAAAGAATCGATCGTCTGACAAACGCTTGGAAAGTTTATTGAGGAAGTGCGTTCCACTTGATTTGAACGCATCACCTGGAATGTCGTTTTTAATTAGTGGTAGTAATCACTTAACGGCATCATCATCTGTTACCGCGTCTCTTTCTCACCTGGCACGAAAGGGGCGTGCATCTTCCACCGCTCTTTTGTTTTAATGCAAATATCTTTTAATCGCTTAGCTTAACATCTCAAAAAACATAAATTTTTGCAAAAATGGTCGGGTGTCAACCGAGGAATTGAACGGTACAGTGTCACTACATCGGACGAATTTATCAGAAGGAAAATAATAAACCATGCATATTTTGCGTTTTTTAGAAAGTTAATGATTCGGGTGTGACAGCGCGTGGTGTTTACAAAGTATAATTTGAAGCAATTAAGACAGATGAAACGACATTAAGCAATTCTGATAATTGTAAAATTTCTTTTTGATATTTCCCTGAAGTATATTGGTAAAAGTTCGCCTTGCTTACAATGGATCTAAGGTCAGAATGAGGAAGATTCATTTAGCATTTAAACAGTCCAAATCATCATCGTATGTTGCTGGGCTGTTCACGCTGTTTAGCCTTTGCCTTTTTATAGACTTTGGTGTGTGCCTTTCCGAATTCGCTCGTAGCAAAACGCCTGAAACAGCATTTTTCAAATACTTGTAAAAATGCACTGATATACTTTTGTGAGGCAAATAATTGAAAACCGCAGAATCCAGAATAACAACCTGTAAAGCAAGGTGAAATTTGTGAGAAGACGTCTTCAAAGGGGTCAGAAGAAGAGAAAAAAAACGTACCCAAGAAACGGTGCTATTTTAAGCATGTCTTTTGGCCATGGTGAAAATATTTACAATCCTTATCCTGGAAGTTACGCGACGGACCAGTATGGAGTGGGACATTACAGCAATTGGGGCAACCAGTTATACGGAAATGAGTACAATAACCAAACTTTTTCTGGGCAAGAACATAACAGTTACAGTATGAATATAACCTACCCCGATACCACTACAAATGCCATTTTGCAATGGGGATTCGACTCTGGCACAACCAACACAATGCCTGTCTCAACTAACACAGCCGTTACAGAAGAAGTACCAACAACAGCGGGGCAAATCCCGTATAATTCTGCAATCACGCACACGGACTTTAGCCCGCAATTTCAACTCGGGGGGCAGAATTTGAAGCCACCAACGACACGCCGAAAGAGAAAAATCAACAAAATTCAAAGAGTGGCCGCAAACATGCGCGAGAGGCGGCGCATGACCCATTTAAACGCCGCCTTTGAAGAGCTAAAGGAAGCAGTGCCCACCCTCCCCCACGAGAAAAAAACTATCACGGATACAAACACTGAAACTGGCCATGTATTACATTGAGTTTATGACGAGAACTTTACACGGGACGCCTTATCCGCCCTTTGCAACGACACGGTTGACAGAGAGTGGACTGCAAGGTGCTTCTACAACTAATTCGGAATCCTTCGATGGGTATAAAGAGTGGGAGGAAAATATAGACGACGAGCAACTTTAGTTTTTTCTTCATCAAAGAAAGAGCTACATGTAGCTCCCGCAGCACAAAAGGCATGTTTAATTCACACGGGGCATTCCTTCTTTCAAGTCTAAAAGTTGTCCGGCAGTATTTCGGTAAGAGCTCGCCTGCATTACAGATTATGGATTGGAAGTCACTTATTATGGCATTGTTGCATAAAATTGAATGCATGTCTGCATTTACTACTGGTAAATCTGTCACAGCGACTATAGAGCCACTCATTTGCTATTATTTTACACTGGATTACTATAATGCATTCTAACTACATCCGATACGAGTTGGCAAATGAGTTGGTAAAGGATAGGCATATACAGAGTATATCGTCTATAACATGTATTAACAATACTTGCATCTATTGTGAGTTTTTTTCTGTGATAATTAATTTATTCTACCTCTCTCTCTATGCTTATAAACTTTGCTTATAACTCAAGGAACTTGGGCGCGATTACAAAATTAGTTAAATTTCTTGGTGTTCCTGACATTGGTATCTTTAAGTTCAAAAGTACTGCTGTAGAACAGTTTCATTAGCTATGTTATTGTAATAGACTTGTGAAGATTCTTTTGTCTATAGCTACTTATATTTGTCTGATCTTACCATCCAATAACTTATCTGCTTGCAGTCAGACTTCATCAGGGAATGAGGTTGTGACAGGTGTGACAACCCATCACTCCCTCTGGTGTGCTATTTGGTCAGATCACCCTCCCCCCTTGCCTGCCCCTCCCTTAGGAGTGGGAGGTAGAGGTTGGGTAGATCACGAAGAGGACACCTGTCACAACCTCATTCCCTGATTAAGTCTGACTGCAAGCAGATGAAATATTGGATGGCAAGATCAGACAAATAGAAGTAGCTATAGACAAAAAATCTTCACAAGTCTAAAAGTACTTCTGATTTAAGAGTGATTCCCAAAAGTTTTATATTACCGAGACCAAATAATCATTCAATTGCTTGTAAGTATGTCCTTTAAACACATTTTTGAAGATATTGGTTTGGAGCTGCGCAGGCAGGTTCATAGTGATTTGGTACGGAATAGAAGTGTAAGAGAGCATGCTACAGTCCCGTAGCCAGCAATTTCAAAAAGGGGTGTTCTTTTTCCAAAAAAGTGGACCTTTTAAAACATATATCAAATATTATACCCAGAATGGACCTTTTCCCGATAAAAAGGGGGATTCTTTCGAAACCCATACCCCCTCA